CTCTTCTCCCCTACACAGACACGAAACTCCGGGCACTTAGACAAGTAGCTTGCCCCAAATTGCCCGGCATGGAAGTGGGGGAGTATGTGTGTGAGGAGCCAGGGTCGGGCTCTTCCCCCAAGTATTCCCCCAGGAGCAGTTCTTCTGCATGAGGCTCATCTGGGCAATATGGTAAAGTTCAGATTCCTGGTCCCCCAAGTCCTGCAGAGTATCAGGGTCCAGGCATGAGACCCAGGGCCAGACCTCTGGCCTCTGTAACATGCTCCCCAGGTACGGTGGCCAGTGGCATTACACGATGCCCAGGTAAATTTCCATTTCAGATCAACAATTAATAAACAAAAAATCCGAATGGGATATGCTCATACTAAACAAAAATGCATTGTTGATCTGAACTGCAAATTTACCTAGGCTTTCTTTTTATTAGCTAAATCAGGCAACCCTATCCCCAAGGGACTAGCCGACCCCTAGAAGTTTGAAAACCCGTTTACTGCCTCTCCATGTGAACAAATGAGCTTTCCATGATTGTTCATTTTCTATTCTTCCTCACCCCTTCTATCTCCCCCGACTCTCACCCTGGAGCAGAGACTTTGATGTCATCTACCAGGATTTCTGTCACAGGTAATCCCATGCAAGGCCAGGAAGATGGCTGGGCAGGGTCACTCAGCCCAATCTACCTCCAAGAGTCTGCGAGATACCCTAAGCACGTAGATTCATGAGAGGTTGGCTGAATCCATCCTAGTGTTGGATTAGCCTGGCTCTCCCCATTTCATTCAAGCACAAATTACTAACAAGACTCTTTTCCAGTCTTGCACTTTGCCAAAACTATTTTTAGAGCATCATTTAGGTTTAGGTGATACAAAAATTCTGCTAGTTTTACAAACCAGCAGGTTCCCAAGGCAAAAAGCAATTCATGCCAGGAGAGTAGCAAAGGATTATTCATTTTCTGTCCATAGGCTGGTAAGGAGTTTTGTATATAACAGGCTGCCTTCAACACAATAGTTGAGAAGATGAACTCATAGACAAAGCTAAAAAACTCATCCTTAGAGAACACAAGGTCAAACTGAGAAAGGTTTTATTTTTAAGATAAAACAGATAGCATTAACACACATCCAAATGCCAGTGCGAGAGTTCACTGGGTTGTATAAAGGAAAAACTGCACTCAAGTGTCAAACAAAAACTGGAACCACTGAAAAATGACTGCTGCTTGTGGTGACACAGGTACAACATGTGCTTGTCTAAGAAGTCGCTCTGCGTTTGTGGATATGTGGCAATGCATGACAAGAGTGAAACAATGCAAGGCAAAATGGCAGGTGCTCAAAGCTTTAAGATCCTTTTCTTCACGCTAATGTGCTCTTGTTTTGCTTTTGAGAATTAGAGTAATTAGCAGGTCATTTTACAAAGAACTTTAATATAAAAGAACACTTCCAAAAGGCTAAAATAGGTTCAAGGTCATTATTAAAGTGATACAGGGAGGTCAGTGAGGGAAACGTTTGTGTTCTCAAAAGCCAGATTTCACACAATGGCAGGTACTAAATCTAGTTACATGTGCTTGCAGTAGAAAAGAAGACACTGATCTTAATAAAGGCTGGTCTTTTTCATGATGCGCAGAAACTCTTGCTCACTGACCTCTCCATCTCCATCTCGATCAGCTTCATCAATCATTTCCTATATGACAGTAAATATTCAGGTTAGGTTAATTTATAAACTAATGCAAAAAGGTGATTAAGGAATAGACCTTTTTTTAGAGACAGGGTCTCTATGCTGCCCACACTAGTACCAAATTCCTGGCCTCAAGTGATCCTCCTGCCTCAGCCTCCCAAAGTACTGGGATTATAGGCGTGAGCCACTGTGCCTGGCAAGCAACAGACTTTTTTTTTTTTTTCTTTTTTTGAGACAGAGTCTTGCTCCGTCGCCAGCTGCCAGGCTGGAGTGCAGTGGCACAATCTCGGCTCACTGCAACCTCCGCCTCCCAGGTTCAAGCAATTCTCCTGCCTCAGCCTCCTGAGTAGCTGGGACTGCAGGCATGCGCTACCATGCCCGGCTAATTTTTGTATTTTTAGTAGAGATGGGGTTTCACCATGTGGGCCAGGATGGTCTTGATCTCTTGACCTCACGATCTGCCTGCCTCGGCCTCCCAAAGTGCTGGGATTACAGGCGTGAGCCACCGCGCCCGGCCGTAATAGACTTTTAATAATGCTATGTGAAAAGATCATTGTAGTCCACCCAATGCCAGTATGCTACTCCTGATAACAGCCTGGTTCCTGAAAAGTTATTTGAAAACCAAGTCATACTTTGTCAAACATATCACCTGGGAGGGAGCTTGAAGACTACCTTGACTGGAGGGATTCCTGGAACCCAAAATAGTAAGTAAAATTGTGCATATGTGCATTTTTCTAGAAGCAGGGTTCACAGGTTTGTCTGACTATTAAAGGAGAATTCAGCTGTCCGCAAAGGGACAAGAGTCCACTGGCTTTCCTTCAAAGAGACGCTCATACCAGGAAAAATGTAACAGAAAAGTCACAGAAGGCTGAAAGGTGGGAATCTGAAGTTCAGTGTGACGTGTTACAAACCTGCAGCTCCTCATCAGTCAGGTTCTCACCCAACTCCTTGGCCACGCGTTTCAGATTTTTGAACGAAATCTTCCCAGTTTCATCATCATCAAAGAGCTTAAAAGCCTTCAGGATTTCTTCTTTGGTATCCTTCTCAGACTTAACAAGTAGAACATAAAACACATGAGTAGGCAGACATCACGGTTACTTCTGTCCTGTAGCCCTGCCACTGCCCAGTCAGGTCACCCTCTCCTTTTTAACAATAATTCAAGTCTAGACTTGCAGCCAGTGTCAGGAAGCCCATTTTGGCCTCAGAGAAACACCAGGCAAGCCAGGCACTCCATCCAAGGTGACATTTGCTCCCTGTCCCTGTATCTGTCCCTATCCCACATCTATTTCTTAACCGGTTTGGAATTCTGAGGGAAGAGGTGTCTGCTTGGAAGTCTTGAGAGAGAAGCACAAGGGCTTATTTTGGGAGCCCAAAGTAGCATGACGGGAGGGCAGGCCTCCTGATGCAGCTGCTCCCTGGACTGCTGTGTGGTCACATGACTATTTTAACAGGCAGATGCCATGGGCCTGTGCAGATGACTGGGGCTCTGTACCATGCTAATTGTCTTAACTACTTACCATTTTCTGGGTCATCACAGTTAAAAAGTCACCAAAGTTCATTTTTCCTGTCCCTTCCTTATCAATTTCACTTATCATTTTCTTAATTTCTTCTTTCTTGGGTTCAAAGCCCAGGGCCCTCATTGCCACCTATAATGAAAACAAGATTGTCTCAATATACACATCTAAACTAGCAGAAGCAAAAATAACAGTGTTGAGAGCATTAAGCCCACATCTGATGTGATAATGTTAATATGATTGGGGAACACTATAACACTGATCTAATTGGTATCTGCAATCAATTTGATAATACTCAAGGTAAGTAAAGACAGGAAAAGAGAGCACAGTACAACCTCCCCTGTTACTTACTGCAGGGAGAAGAGGGCAAAAGGGGTAGAGAGGTGATAAGGAGATGGCAAGGAAGAGGGAGAGGAAAGGCAGGGCAAACAGCAGGAATGCATAGAGCTTGCCTTAAGTTCCTTAACATCTATGCTGCCAGTTCCATCCGCATCGAAAAGATCAAACGCTTCCCGGATCTCCTGCTTCTGCTCTTCTGTAAGCTCAGGCTTAGGACTCATTCTTTTTCGCTGGGCACTTGACGCCATGTTTGCCTTCTTAAAGTTGGAGGCCTTTATATGTTATGTAAATACATAAGCACAATAATATATAATACAGTCCATATTTACATAACATAGTTACAGACAGCTATATGTATTTTTAAAGTCATTTATAACCAATTCCAAAGCTTTGCTTAACAAGAAAGATGATAGGGTTTACTGACAAGAACAATCAATCTTTCCATGAACTTCTATCCCTCCCTTTTCTTTACTATTGTTTCTAGACGCAGGGAGATAATTTGTTCAGTAAGGATGCCTCTTATTGAAAATCATCCCAAAAGAGAGCTAGTCAAGAAACTGACTGTGAATAACTAGAGATAATCAGCTCTTCCCAAATGTGGGGATCCTGGTTCTGGAAACAGCCTTAAAATGCCCACTCCCAGTACTCCGCTTCCCAGTAAGTACTCTCTCTGACTTCCCAATTACTTCTAGATTTCGCCAAACATTAGTAAGTTGTTAAGATGTATATTGTGTCAGTATCTAACAATAAAACTCAATCCATCTGGCACTTTCGTGCATTCTCCAAGAAGCTAGAAGCACCCCCTTAATGCCCCTATATTTATATTGTAGAAAACATTTTCAAAGAAAACAATACACATTCTCCCAGTTCTGTGGGGAAATTTTGGCAGGATGAGGCGGCCAGGAGGCCAAGGTCTGAGAGAGTCAGGCGTCTGTGAGGGATTCGAGTCTTTTTTGCCCAGGGAGGGTCACCGAGGGGACCAGGGAAGGCCAGGGGAGCCCGAGGAGCGGGTGTGGGCCTGTTGTGGGTGAAGGGGAGGCAGCAGCGAAGCGCAGGCCCAGTAGGTTGGTTAGCGTCTGTACCCTACCCTTCCGGGAAAGAGCTCAAAGGAAGGACTGATACGCCAAAGCCGAAAAAGGCGCAGGAGAGGCGGCGTGGCCTAGCCGGGGCTTGGGAAGGGCTCAACCTCTGGGCGTGGGGCACGACGGAGCGGCCAGCACTCACCATAGCCAAGGGACTCCGCTGCCGGTTGTTAGGCAACCGCCGTACACACTGACTCGGCGCCGTTCCCACCGCCCCCTGCGCGCAGCCCCGCTCTCCATTGGCCGTCCTCTCGCCGTCGCCGCTCTCCATTGGTTCAGGACCGAAGTGGGTGGAATTAACCTGGCAAAGCCCTGGACCAGCGCGGGGAGGGGCACGCTGGCGACACAGGCCAGTCATTATTGGGCAAGATCACGCCGCGAACGCCAATTGGCTGAGCCAACGCTGAGCTGGGCCAATCCCCTTGGTGGAGGAAGCTCGGCTGATTCTCGTCTCACTCTGGAGGGTAGTAAAGGGTGGCGGTCTGGGGCTAGAGTTCGGTGGGTGCAGCCTGCTTGCAAGCTGAGGCCAGCCAGGGGGGCGCTTACGGACGGGTAAGAGTCTTGGTCTTGCCCTTGGAGGTCACCTTGTGTCAGCGACTGGGCAGGGCGGGAGAGTGAGGAGCTGCGGGGCCGCCCGGGTCGGGTGCTTTCTGGGCTGATCTCAGGCTGAGTTAGGGACCGAGTGCATCAGACCCCCAGAGACTACTGACCTTGCGTGTTGGAGTAGGGGCTGTACTCACATGGCAACTGAGACCCAGAGAAGGGAAGGGGTGTGCTGAGCGTCGTTGCAGAGGTCGAACTGCTGAGACCTAGGAACTGAATCCAGCCGAGGCTCGCTCTTTGAGGGTGGCCCTTCGAGAGCACCCCCAGACTGCCCCCAGAAGTATATGACCCAGATTAGGTTCCAAGAGGGGATCACTTTAGGTCTCACGTGGCTAAAAGCAGCCCAGTACGGTGAACTGGGGGCTTTGGGAACGGACTTTGAAAGGCGTGAGGGGGATGTGAGCGAGCATGAGGGGCCGGGAGAGGTCATCAAAATATACTCTTTGACACCCACTCAAGGCAGATAAGGAGGAGCATTCCAGGCCTAGAAGCCCTCATAAGCAAAGTCACAGGAGTTTTGGAAGTTACTGGTATGCCTGGAGGATTAAAAGGGAGCGTGTGCAAGGGCTGTGGACTGAGATAGACCTGCAGAAGGAGAGCTGGAGTTCCAATTTGCCCTCTTTCGCTATTCCCGTGGCTTTCAGCCTTCACCTGCCTTTCCTCCAGGCATTGGGGCAGTAATCTAGGGAGGCAAAGGGCAGAGTGTAAGTTTCTCAGGCAGACAAAGGCCCGAGGCTTATTAGAACTTTTTAAATGGAGCCTCTGCCCTTTGCCCTCTTCCTTCTTCAGCAGTGAACAGATTCATAACTTTTGGGTCATCATCAGCCTCCCAAGTAGTCCGAGCCAGAGTTCTTACCATGTTCTGCAAAGCCTGGCACATGTTCCCTCCTATCACTCTTCTTCTCTCCTCAGGCTCACTCCAGCCCCACAATACTGGCTTTGTCGTTGAACCTCATGTGCCAGCCACACTCCTGCCTCTCATTTGTGTCCCAGTTGTTCCCTCTGCCTGCCTCCTCTTAAGCACCCTATTTAAGTACTGCAGCCTCCAGTACAAATAAACCACTCACCTTGCTCTACTTTTTTTCCAATATTACTTACCACCTTCTGACCTACTGTATATTTTGCTTATTTATTTTGTTCTCTGTTCTCCCTCCGCTAGAAAGCAGGCTGTCTGAGGGCAGGCATCTTTGTGGTATTAACTAATGGTACTCCAGGACCTGGAACAGAGAGGGGAACATATTAGGTGCTCAGTAAATCTTGGTCAGACAACAGATGAGTAGTCCCCCTGTTTCCTACCTCTCACCTATCTAGCCCCCCCCCCTGCTCTGCCAGGCTAATCTTCATAGTGAACAGCTCTGGTCAGGGCAGCTCCCAGCTCTTAAACCTTCACAGCCTGTACTGTAAAGGGCTCCTTAGCCTGGCATGTGATCCCTCTGCCCAGTTTTGCCCCTGCTAACCTAACCCTTCTAGCTTAATGTCCCTCCACACCTTGCTTCCCCATCCGTCAGCCTGCAGATTGGAGGCCTGACAGACCACACGAGACAAACCCAAGTTCTGCCCAGGTTGTGTGCAGGCTGTGTGACTTTGGACAAGTTGCTTAACCTCTCTGAGTCTGCTTCTTATTTGTCGAGTGAGACTGGTACTGTCTGCCTGATGGGATACTTTCACATCTCAATGGGATAAGGTACTTATATGTAAAGTGGCCTGATGTTGAGCAGGTCTTCAGGCAATATTACAGTTGACCCCTGAACAGCATGGGTTTCAACCTTGTGGGTCTGCCTATGGAGGCAGATTTTCTCTCATCTCTGCCACCCCTGAGCAGCAAGATCAACTCCTCATCTTCCTTCTCAGCCTACTCAGCATGAAGACCGTTCACTCAATGAATGGTAAATATATTTCCTCTTCCTTATGATTTCATAGTCAAATTTTCTCTACCTTAATTGATTGCTGGAACACAGCATGTAATACATGTAACATATGAAATATTTGTTGATCAACTATTTACATTATTGGTAAGGCTTGCAGCCAACAGTAAGCTCTATTAGTAAAGTTTTAGGTAAGTTAAAAGTTCTGTGTGGATTTTTGACTGTGGGTCTCAGTGCTCCTGACCCCCACATTGTTCAAGGGTCAAATGTAATTCTTGTCTCTTTGCTCTTGTCATTCCCCCTACCCGACATGCCTAGAGCCTTAGACTTGTCCAAAATCTCTTCCCCACACTGCTGCAGGGTGATCTTTCCAACCACAACTCTTACTCCTGCTTCCAACTTCCAGGAGCCTCAGCATCTTTCACCCCGGGGAACTCCTTAGCTTGGCACACAGGCCCCTTAGGTTCTCAGCTTTGCTCCTGATCTTACTTCACACTTGCTGTGACACAGCTTGTCACATTTATCAGAACATGCTGTCTCTGTGCCATCACTTTGTCCTTCCCACCCCTGGCCATGGAATGTCTTTCAGGACACCATGCCCTCTGTTTGACTCATTCTTCTGGGGTCTTTTGAAGTCAGCTTAGGGGTCGACTAGTTGGGGCAGGCTCCCCTGAGCCAGCAGCTGGCATTGGTGCTCTGGGCTCACCCTCATCAGAGTGGGGACACACTTCCTCAACTGTTTGTTTGCTCCTGTCTCCCAGCCTAGATGGGGGACGAGAGGGGAGGTATTCCGTGCAGAGGAACAGCATAAGCTAAGCTCACAGGCATGCTGATGGGTTTCTGATTCATCTCTCTCTCTGGTTTGAAACAGACTGTTCTTTCCTTTGGCCTACAGGAATCAGTGGCCGGAACGTTCCCTATCAGGAAGGATGAGGTTGAGCTAACTCGCTTCTCTCTTCTCGCTTCACCTGAGGCGGCACACACCTTCATTATGGATGTATTTCTTAGATAAATTGCAGCAAAGCAGGAGGCCTGTAGGAGCAAAAGTAAGGCCTGCCTTTCAGAATTCCAAGATGTGACACGGGAAGGAAAATACCCAGATTAGGATTAGGGAGGCCAGTGGCTAGGAAGTCACATCTCTTTAGAGGGGTCCATTTGGCCTTTATTTTGCTGGGGCAAGTCAGCTCAGCTTTGTGCTTCCGTGGCCCTGCACTGCGGAGCAAGGTGCTGGGATTTTACCAGTACAAGATGGCTCTGTTTTCCTAGATTATTTTTAGCATAAGATTTTCATCCCAGTGTACATAGTGGGTGCACATACTGGTTTTTAATGGATTAAATACCTAACATTTTAAAGGAAAAGACTTGAGGCTTCTGATGTGTGAACCATAACAATCCACCAGCCCCTAGAACATTGCTCTTTGGAGTCTTGTTTTCAAGAGTTCAGAGCTATTCTTCTGTGTGTATGTGTGGTAAAGTAGACATAACGGAAAATGTACCATTTTCACTGATTTTAGGTGTACAGGGCTTTTTTTTTAAGTGGGAGTTTTGCTCTTGTTGCCCAAGCTGGAGTAAAATGGCGTGACCTTGGCTCACTGCAATCTCCGCCTCCCAGGTTCAAGCGATTCTCCTGCCTCTGCCTCCTGAGTAGCTAGAATTACAGGCATGTGCCACCACGCCCAGCTAATTTTTGTATTTTTAGTAGAGACAGGGTTTCACGATGTTGGCCAGGCTGGTCTTGAACTCCTGACCACAAGTGATCCACCACCCTCGGCCTCCAAAGTGCTGGGATTTCAAGTGTGAGCCACCATGCCCAGCCTGTTGAACATCTTTTTATGTGCATTTTGGCCATCTTTAAAATAGATCTTCTTTGGAGAAATGTCTGTTCAATCACAGCCATTCTCAATGTACATTTTAACCCGAGCATACATAACATGGTGAATTTAGGTGAGCAGGCAGGGGATGGGGGTTGCCCGTGGGATCTGACTCATTTGCTAGGCTAGCTCTGGGCACTCCAAGCCATAGAGACAGCTAAGCTGTCACCAGAATTCTTATCTGACTCATAGTATTTACAAACTTTAAAATAATTGGCATATAATTTGAGACAAAAGAGATTTTGTTTTGACAAGAGACTGGTTTGCAAGGAATTGTGTGATTATTGTTTCAGCAGTACAGCTCTGTTGGGGCGAGACATGTTTCTTCTTTCACCTCCTACACCCTCCTCTAGCAAACGAGGAGAGGAATAGGCTCTCAGGCTTCTTGCTTTTGCTAGTCGTACAGGAGGATGTGTGGAATTGGCAGCTCTGCTATTTGGATTTCGGGACTGCAGAGGATACTTGTATAGTTTGCTAGGTCTGCTGTAGCAGATGACCACAAACTGGGTGACTTAGAACAACAGAAATGCGCTTCTCACAGTTCTGGAGGCCAGAAGTCTAAAATCAAGGTGTTGATAAGACTGTGCTCCCTCTGAAGGATCCAGGGGAGACTCCTCCTTCCTTTGTCCCAGCATCTGGTGGCTCCAGGTGTTCCTTGACTTGTAGCCACATCATTCTAACCTCTACCTCCATCTTCACATGGCCTCCTCTTCTGCCTGCCTTTCCCCTCTATACGTCTCTTAGAAGAACACTTGTCATTGGATTTTGGGCCCACCAGGCCACCAGGGGCTTCTATTGGACCATTCTTTTCCTACTTTTCATGCAAAACTTAAGGCTGCAGGAGCAGTGAAACATTCTTTGGTTCTAATTTTTGTTAAGAAGAACTGAATGAAGGGTCTGGTATTAGTCGTTATGCTGTTCTTTGAATGAGGCCAAAGAGGAAATAATTCTTTCCACCCAAGTTTGCTTGCAAGTCCCAATCTGTCTTATTCTTTATTTACACCCCTGCTCATGCTGCCACTGTACACATACTTTACAAGACAAGTCCTTGGCTGTTTATTTGTTAGCCAGCATCTGGTTGTTGCAACAACCCCAGGAGTTAGCCTTTAAAGCAGGACCTGGGAGTCATTTCCAGGGCAGATAGAATAGTCCCTGCCTGCCCAAGCTGACACCACATGGCAGCAGGTTAGACAGGGGAGGACTAGAGTGGTGGAGAGACTCCAAAGAAGGCCCAAGAGGATGCATGGCCAGGGAGACTCCTGCACAGGAAGCTATGTTACAGTGATAAGAAAATGAGCTGCCTTGAATGGCGTGTTGACAGGTATTTGACACTATCCTCATAAAGACCTTATGAAGCCATTTACTTGACAGATGAGGAAAGGCAGGCTCAGTTCTTTTAAATAACCCCCCTTCCGAGGGCTGCCTGCTGGTAAAGAATAGTACATAGCTGGGATTTAAACACAGCAGACTCTTGTTTCATTCATTTATTGCCAGCTGTACTGAGGAGTGGCGCGATTTGTGATTTTCTCAGGCATAGAGGGTGAGCAGAGGCTTACAGGAACAGAACTCTGCAGGGGTGGGCTTGCTTAGCCTGGCTGGCCTAGTTGGCCCATCATGTGGTCCTGTCATTGCCCCAGGCACACACCCCTCAGATCCCCTGCCAGCAGAGGTGAATAAGGCCTTGGTGGGGTCAGAGGCCAGATGTGGGCGATTTCCTTGCCCCTATAGATGCCATCTGCCTTTTCATTGACTCATGTTTCCCTGAGTATCTGGGGAAACTGGATAAGAAGCCAGCAGTGGGCATTTGTGATTGTATCATTGTGAAATAGCAGTAATTTGCCCCACTGAAGCCCCTGCCCCTTAGATGGGATATGCATGTGCGCGATGGAGAGCAGCATGGGGACTCTAGTGGGTGTGTCCACACAGCAGTCTCATGATCCCAGGGCGATATGGGAGTGCCCACTTCATGCTGGGCACTGTGCTTCTTGCCCAGGTTGCAGCAGTGGGCAAGACTTTGGTGCAAGGTGCTAAAATCTTTTTTCTCTACCTGCTTTGGTCCAGATACACATAGAGTCACAATGAGTTCAATGTCAGCCGCGTGTCTTTCGAATGAACAGATGACAGGGCCCCTGCCAATGTGAAGGGGATTATGGGATAAAGGGAGGGACAGGGCAGGTGCAGAGTTACAGATTGACTTTAGTGCATTCTAAAAATGGCCATGACAAGTCAAGTTTTGAAATACAGTTTCTTGATAATTTTCAGTATGAGTTTAGAAAAATGGTCTCCCCAAATGGCCCCTCCAGACATTGAGGGTCCTACATCCATTTCAAAGCCATGTTGGCCTTCTACATGGTCTTAAAATCAGTCCCCACTGGGACACGTGATCATGCCCATTCATTAAAAGTGGCAAGGAGTGTAAAATTTGAGGTATAGGGTTGGATTGGAGCAGTCACAGCAGGTGGAACCCCAGTGCCGCCTGCCTGCCACCTCCTCACTGAAGCATTCTGTGAATCTAGCCTTTCATGAGCAAAGTTAAGACTCTTCTTGTGGATGTTGCCATCTCCAGATGTGAGGGGATCCATGACTAAGTAAATTGTCAACTAAGAAAACATAGACACAAGACCAATTACATCATAGTCAAGTGGCTTCTTTGTGTTTGCAGTTCAGTATTGTGGGTGATGAAGGAGAGAAGCACCCTAAGGGCTGTCATCTCTGGTAACATTTTTGGACTTCGTTGCTACCATCTCCTTGCTGTAAAGTGTTGGGTCCCCACCATACTCTGACCATTTCCCAAGCGTTTCTGATGGCCCTAGATACTCTTGAGTTCCTCAACCCATCATCAGAGTGGCTTTAACTTAGCCAAGCAGAAGAGCTCCATCTCCCATTGCACTCCACTCATCCCCTGTCCCAGCATCCCATGTCCTGAGCTCCTAGACATGAGCCCTTGAGCCTATTTCATTGATCGGGAAACTGAGCTGCAGCAAAGGGAAGTGACTGGAGCAGATCCATGCAGTTCATGATAGGACCAGACCAGGACTCCCTAGGCGTGGGCACTGCCACACCCTAATGAGCACCACAGGAGAAATCAAGGCTGACTGAAGAATGGGAGAACCATGGAAAAAGCTACAGTGCCAAAAACCATTTTTATGTTATAACTGATGAGTGAGCTTATTTAAGTGGCCTCCCGTGCTGCCTCTAATCCAACTGTATGGTAGGTCATGGGTCTAGTCATGCCTGCATTACAGAAACATTGGCGCAGTGTCTCCTCGAACGGCTGTACCTATGGTTCAGCTGCTTATAAAAACTAATGGGGATGGCATCTGCACAAAACACTAACAGCTAAAGATGCTTTGACTTAGGCAACATTAATGTCTATCTCTATGTCTTTAAGAAAAGAAAATCTGATTGCAAACGGGACCATATTTTGCTTTGAAATGGAACCAGCAGTTAGTGAGCCAGTGAGAGACCAAGTTGCATGGACGCATTTGACAGAGGATATTCCCAGAGTGAGTACTGACATAGAAAAGGTTAACCAGAATCAGGTAAGGAGAAAGTTGACACGTACATACCAAGAAGCTGTTACTATTTACCTGTGGGTTAATAGTTGTATATTTGTACATGGATTAATCAATGTTGGGTATTGTTGTTTTGTTTTTGTTTTTGAGATGAAGTCTTGCCCTGTCACCCAGGCTGGAGTGCAATGGCACGATCTTGGCTCACTGCAACCTCTGCCTTTAATTGTGATTAGTCACAATTAAAATCGTGAAATGAAATCTCACTAGACATAACAGCAAGGTTATTTGTTTTTTGAAAAGATTAGCATCCTTTGAAACACCTGTAACTGGAGATGCCAAATGATACAAGCAAGGCAGTCTGAAATCCCTCATGATGCTCTCAAAACATATCTAGTTCTAACTGTCTTTGGGTTCAGACTTTTAGTAAAAACTGCGGAAGCCCAGGTTGGGAAACAGGCAGCTCAGAGTTATTCTAAATAGCTACAGTTTGCCTGTACAGCTGACTTGGGAGGAGGGGAGAAGAAAGGGATTGCTAGAAAAGGGATTGATGGGAGTTTTGTATTTAATTTGGCCAGGACCTGAGGAAATATATCATATGTAACCTGGTATGATTGCATGTGTATAGGAATATTCAGAATAAAGCCTAGAAAAGAACAGGTTGGGAAGTTAGTTTTGGGTGGCAGAAGAATGGTAAGGCCGATTTTGTTAGTAGTTGCACATGAACAAATGAGGCTGAAGTACAGTGCCATCTCCAGGCGGGCCTGGTGGAATCCAGTATGAGTGCCGTTTCAGATGGGACACCCCAACTGGGAAGGAGGCGGATGTGTAGCGGCCGTCTGGCCCTGGCATTCCTTCAGTCTCTTGCATAGTTCAATTTTGTTAATGTTTAAGGGATAAGTAGGGAGATTTGTTTGTTTTTCTAATCAAGAACATAATTTATTTAAGATATTTCATTTCCACACACCCAACTTGGATTTACTCTATATGAGCTAAGGAAAGTGGAGGTTGTCATCTTAAGGAGGCCCAGATACAGTTTTAGAAATAACCTAGGGCGGAAGGCTATCACAGGTCCTCCTTACAGACACTCATAGCCAGCTGGTCTGGTGTACAGCAGCCGCAGTTTGGCACTGACATACTGGAGGGAGGATATTGAAGGGCCTGCATGTGCTCCTCTGTCCTTGCATTATGCCCAGTCACCAGAACTGCAATTACCCGAGGAATCGTGCATGTTGTGGAGGCTGAGACATAAACGCCATGGCTCTCCCCATTTCTTCAACTTCCTTGCAGTTCAGAGGAGGCAAAGCAGAGCCCTGGGCTCGCCCATCCTCACTGCAGCCCCACTAGGACAGCCCATGAAGGTGGTCTTAGATTTCTAAGCTGAGGCAAGAAGGGGTCGGGTGATGAGCCCAAAGCGACACAGCCCAGCCCTGCTGTGGTCAGGGAGGAAAAGGGACTGACTTTGTCCATCGAGTATGGAGACTGCTTCCTTCTTTCTGATGTTTTCAATGCAAGCTATCAGCTACCAAATGGCTGCCTTTTTTTTTTTTCTTGTCCTTAGAGAAGCACCCAGGGATCAGGAACACAAAGGTATCACAGGTTTGTTTTCTTTTAAGATTGTCCAGTTTTGGTCATAGGTGGTTTGATTTCTTTTCACTAAATACAAAGCATGGATCTTGTCATCAAATCCAGCCAAAGTCAATCTCAGTGTCATTTGCTGTCTCTCTTCCCTCCTTACTGATCCCAGGAGAGAAGGTTACACTAGTGATGGAACACCAGAATGATATAAACCTTCCAACTTGGCTCAGGAAGAGCTACAGACAAACAAGTATATCTACCATTGCAGTGGCTCATGATACGCAGTTCTGGACTCTACAGCTTCCAGTTCTCACTACACTGGTCTTCCCTACCATTCCTCTCTTTCCACAGGCTAAGAAATGCACAGTGATCGGGGGCTCTGGATTCCTGGGGCAGCACATGGTGGAGCAGTTGCTGGCAAGAGGATATGCTGTCAATGTCTTTGACATCCGGCAAGGGTTTGATAATCCCCAGGTGCAGTTCTTTGTGGGTGACCTCTGCAGCCGACAGGTAATGGACCTTGCTGATTTCCCACAACTCATGAGGGGGAACCACGATACTTCCCTTGCTCAGAGGCCAGCCAAATTGTTTGAAAAAAAATTGTTGCATTGTGAACATTTTCAAAGTTATAGGAAACAACACCACATTCTTACTACTCAGAATGAATAACCATCATCTCTGTCGCAGCCACTCAGCTCTGTCCTGGTAGTACAAAAGCAGCCATGATCAGCACTTAAATGAACAAATGAATGTGGCTGTGTACCAGGGAAACTGTACTTCAAAAGCAGTCCATGGGCTGTTTGGGCCAGCTGCAAAAAGTATGGGTGCTGGGCCACAGGGTCATGTTTTTTTTGATTAAGAAAGAATTCATTAAAAAAAGATTCATGTACTGCCAATATCACATTTTTAACATATGCAATTCAGTGGTTATCCATATATCCACAAAGCTGTGCAACCATCTCCCATGATCTAACTCCAGAATATTTGTATTCCGCCAAAATGAAATCTCATAGCCATCCCCTCTCCTCCCCTCCCAGCCCCTGGCAGCCACTCATCTGCTTCCCATCTCTATGGATGGGCCTCTTCTGGACATTTCATATAAACAGAATTATGTCGTATTCATACTTCTGCGTCATATTTATATTTTTTTCACTTAGCATGATGTTTTCAGCTTCCTCCATGTTGTTCAGGTATGAATAGCTTGAATTTTATTACATGTTGCCAGATGGCTCGACAAAGCTGCTATGTCAATTTCACCTCACACCACAGTGTGGCAGGAGCCCCATTGCTCCACATCCTTGCCACCGTGGAGCATAACTAGACTTTTTGGTGTTGCCATTTTGAGGAGTATGAAATGGTGCCTCGCTGATGTTCAGAGTCACATGTCCTCCCTGATCAAGTAACCAGCCACTCTGTCATTGGGTGATCGGCTTTCAGGCTTCCTCCTGTATGAAATGTTTGTGTCCTTTGCCCCTTTGTCTTTGGGATTGCCTTTTCTTCCTTGTTACTCTAGTTGGAGTGCCGATCCTGTGCTTGTGTCCTTATGGATGGCTTCCCTCAGCCTGTCACTGGGCTCTTATTCTTGGCTTTGGTGTCATTTGCCATATGGTTTTTGTTTATGAAATATTAAGACCATTGCTTCTGCTGCAAAGTTATGGCTGTTTTCTCTCCCACACTGCTCACACCTCCGGGCCTGGAGATGGGGTAGACATCTTCCGTACTCATCATGGCTGCCTCCGAACCATTCTCCCTCATGCCGCTCTAAGCCCCTCCAGCTTTGAAGAGGATACCCTCAGACTATACAAACCCCAACACCCTTCCTTCCTTGTGATGGCCACCCACAGCCATCTGCTCCCCTTCCCAGGTGACTCCACTTTATAGGATTTCAGCTCCTTTCTGGCATTATGATTTGTGAATTCAGTGTTCACGTAGATGACCCTACCAATGCTCTCGCCTCTCTCACCCAGTGATGCTGCCCTCCTGTCATCACCAGTAAGCATGCCCTCTCCTTCATCCCAGTTGCAGGCATTCTACTCTGAGTACCAGCTCCTCTCTGTCCAGCTCATGCCCTCTAGTGCCTCAGCTGTCCCGATTCCTTGACCCCACCCAGACATCCAGGCATACCTGCTGTGGCTCACCCCATTTGTGCTTCACTGCCTTTAGTTCCATGGTCCACTCATTCACTTGCATGGTCTTCACCCCCTTCCCCTTTCTCTTTTGGTTGTATGTATCCATAAAGTTTCTCCACAGAAACACCCAGCAGGGGGTAGGGAGAGAGAGAGGGAGAGGTGGGTGAGAGGGAAAAAGAGATTGAGATTTTTTTTTTTCTTGAGATGAAGTCTTGTTCTTATTGCCCAGGCTGGAATGCAGTGGAGCGATCTCAGCTCCCCACAGCCCCTGTCTCCCAGGTTCCAGAGATTCCTCTGCCTCAGCCTCCTGGGTAGCTGGGATTACAGGCACAAGCCACCACGCTTGACTAATTTTTGTATTTTCAGTAGAGACAGGGTTTCACCGTGTTGGCCAGGCTGGTCTGGAACTCCTTACCTCGGGTGATCCGCCTGCCTCAGCCTCCCAAAGTGCTGGGATTACAGGTGTGAGCCACCGCACGTGGCCGAGAGATTGAGATTTAACTCACAGAATTGGTTTACATGATTGTGAGGGCTGGATAGGCAGGTCTGAAATTTGTAGGGCAGACCAGAAACTCAGACAGGAATTGATGCTGTGGTCCCACGTTAGAATTTTTCTTACAGAAACCTCAGTTTCTCTTTCAGGGTCTTTGAACTGATTATATACTGCCTTCCCAGAGTATCAAGGGTAATCTCCTTACTTAAAGTCAGCTGATTGTAGATGTCAACCACAGCTACAACATACCTCTACGGCAACACCCACACTAGTGTTTAGTGGAGATACCGGGGACTGGAGCCTGGCCCCCACAGTGTACTTCACATTGTAACCCCCACCCTGGTTAAATCTTGCCTTGTGCATGGCCACAGCCCTCAAGCAGACCTTTGGTACCACTGAGCACCACCTCCACAAATGTGCCTACGTTCACATCTCCAGTCAGCCTCCCCTGCTGTTCCTGAGGATGCCTCATCCCCACCAAAGCACCCATCCTGGTGCCAGCTGGAAGCCACCTCCTCTTCCCTACCCAGTGATTCGGATAGGACCTCTCTCCCTGGCTGCCTCTGATTCCTTCCTTCTGTTATCTTGTGGAACCACTCCAGTTAGGTCTCCCCCAAACAGCTCCTGTCACTGCCACCAGGGACCTTGAGGCAACCATATCCGGTGGTTGAATCTCCGTCCTCCTCTGCCTTGGCCCTTTAGCAGCATCTGATGCTTTCTTTGCTTGCCTTCTAAGATGCCACGCTCCCTCCTTTCTCCTTCTGCCTCAATGATTGTCCCCTGGTCACTATCATTTCTAAACTTTGCAGGCTCCAGGACTTTGCTTTTCTTCTCCAAGTTTAGACAGTGTCCCCATGACTCCATCCCATCTCATGTATTCATTATTGTCTAGAAGCTAGTGGGCTGCCTGCTTGGCATCTCTACCCCCCAGCTCTCTCGGCCATGTGTGTGTCTGTGTGTGTTTGTGTGTGTATCTCAAAATGCCTGCTGGGCATCCCTGTTTGGATACCTCATGGTCACTTCAAGCTTGCTACATCCAAAATTAAGTTCCTGGTTCCCTGATGCAAGCCCCTCCCCTATCCCAGCAAACCTACTTCTGCTAAGTCTTCTCCAACTCCATAAATGGCCCACTCTGCTTTTCCAGTTGCATTAACCAAAAACCTTTGATTTATCCCTGCCAGGCTCCTTTCTCTCTCATGCCCTTCATCCCATCCATCATGAAATCTTGTTGACTCCACTCAGAACAGATCCCCAACCCAGCAACTTCTCACCCCGCCCATGGCTGCCACCCTGGTCCATCATCACTCTCATCTAGATGTTAGAGGGACTCTTAATGGATAGATCAGATCATACCACCCTCTGTACAGAAGCCTCCAGTGGCATCCAGTCCCATGTAGAGCAAACAGGCCTGTGTAATCACCCGTGAGGCCCTGAACAGCACGTCCCCACTACCTGTCGGGCCCCCTTCCTCCCACACCCGCCTCATGGCTCTGCCCCAGGCACACTGGCCACAAACCAAGTTTCTGCCTCAGAACCTTTGCACTTGGTGTTCTTTTTTCTTTTTTCTTTTATTGCATTTACAAAGCACTTGGTGTTCTTTCTGTCAGGAACGCTCTTCCTGAACCACAGAGCTTGCTCCCTAACTTCCTGTAAATCTCCAACCACCCCGTGCTAAGGAACCAGCCCCTGCCCATCTCCCTTACTTTGCTCTAGTTTCTGCATATCAGCTGCCAGCCAGTACGGACGTCCTCTAGATTTACTTGTTTCTTTGCTTATTTGTCTTGAAACGTGATTGATCATGAGCGGATACAGAGCAAAGGAAATCTCATAAGAAATTTGTCCTCAACGTAAGCTCCACAAAAGCAGGGATTTTGTCTTTCGATCACTGCTTTGTTCCCTCCAAGGAGATGAGAATCCTTAGCAGGCTTTAACTTCTCTCCAAAAGGCTCCCCAGCTGCTATGCTGCTGTTGCTAATATATTATTGCCAGCTTTCCTTGAGTACAAATTTAAAGGGAGACCCTCAAGCATGGCATGTAGCTCTCCAGCTATACTCAGCTACTCAGCTGCAGGCATGGAGAAGAGGCGAGTTGCATTTAACCAGGGTTGGAGTTTGCTAGACAAATTTAATAAAGGGAGAGGGGAACAAGGCAAAGGTGGTGCTGATGGATCATGAAATCTAAGCTAAGTCCAAGGTGGATGTGATGTGGGTGAAAGGCATGGCAGGAAAGGACTTTTATTTTTATGTATTTTTTATTTTTTGAGACGGAGTCTTGCTTTGTTGCCCAGGCTGTGGCGCAACTCAGCTCACTGCAACCTCTGCCTTCCAGGTTTAAGTGATTCTCCTGCCTCAGCCTCCCTAATCAGGTGCCCACCACCACACCCGGCTAATTTTTGTGGTTTCAGTAGAGGCAGGGTTTTGCCATGATGGCCAGGCTGGCCTTGAACTCCTGACCTCAGGTGATCTGCCTGCCTCGGCCTCCCAAATTGCTGGGATTACAGGCATGAACCACTGCGCCCGGCTGGGAAGGACTTTTAAAATGTGCTTTCAGCTGGGAGTGGTGGTGTGCATTGCAGTCCCCCAGCTATTTGGAATGCCAAGGTGGGAGAATCACTTGAGGCCAGGAGTTCAAGACTAGCCTGAACAACATAATGAGACCTCCATTTCTTTTTTAAAAAATGTGTTTTTATAGTCAGTAGAGAGAGAGGGGAGAGAGACAGATATATATACACACATACATATAGATAAAGTTTATATATATATATAGTTATATAGTTTTATATACACAACATATATTACATAACACTTTGTTTGTTTGTTTGTTTGTTTGTTTGTTTGTTTGTTGGACACAGAGTTTTGCTCTGTCGCCCAGGTTGGAGTGCAGTGGCACGATCTCGGCTCACTGCAACCTCTGCCTCCTGGGTTCAAGCGATTCTCCTGCCGCAGCCTCCCGAGTTGCTAGGATTACAGGCATGGGCCACCATGCCTGGATAATTTTTATATTTTTAGAGACAGGGGTTTACCACGTTGGCCAGGCTGGTCTCGAACTCCTGACCTCAAGTGATCTGCCCTCCTTTGCCTCCCAAAGTGCTAGGATTACAGGTGTGAGCCACCATTGCCACCACGCCCAGCCCATAACACTTTTTAAAATCACCCCAGTCTTGTGGCATCTTTTGCTGCTAACAAGAAGTCTACTCCCAAGCTGGTTGCTGCTTCTTTGTAGGTTGTCTGGCTTTTCTCTCACAGCTTTTAGAATTTTATTTTTTATCATTTATAGTCTCTATAGAGAATGCATCTGAGCCTGAGTTCTCGTTTTGATTTTAAATCTGACTCAACACTTGCTAGGCCTTTGCAGTCTGAAGATGAATGTCTTTCCTCATTTCTGGAAAATTCTTCAAAGACTCTACTCTTCTCTCTTTTCTCTCTTTCTGGAAGCCTTGCTGGACGGATGGTGGTCTTTCATTGTGTTATCTGTCTGTTACCCTCTCTTTCTTGCATTCCTTCTCTTTCTCGTTCTATTTCATAGCAGATTTCCTCTTCCCTGCATCTGCCCATGGCCAATCATGTTTCACCTATAGTCCCCTCAGATTATGTTGAAGCCATTCCTAGACATCATATCATTTTATCTGTAAATATTTCATTATTGGTCTCTAAAAGATAAGGATTCTTTTTAAAAACACTGACAGTAGTTCTTTAGTATCTAGCCAGTGTTCAGATATCCCTGAATGTCTTATAAATGTCTTTGTATTATTGTTTTTCCACATAAGGAACCAAACAAGGTCAAGACTATGCATTTGGCTGAAATATTTAGGTCTGTTTTAATTTACAGTTCCCTTCATCTTTTGAAACTTCAGTCTATCTATTGAATAACTGATGTTTAATAGGATCCATGTTTGTGGTGCTGTAGTATTTCCCACAGTCTGGATTTTGCTGATTACATCCCCATGATGTTTAACATGCCCTGCTGTCCTCCAGTATTTTCTGTATACTGGTAGATCTGTGATGGTACTGTCCATTAAGGCAGCCATTAGCCACATGTAGCTATTAGACACTTAAAATGTGGCAAGTCAGAATTGAGAAGCACTGTACATGTAAAGTCTACACCAGATTTCAAAACTAAGTACAGAAAAAAGGAATGTAACTATCTCATTCAAGTTAATTTCACCTTTCTCTTTTTACTTTTTAATGTCATTACTACAAACTTTAAAGTCACTGTGGCTTGTATTATGTTTCTACTGGACTACAGACTTGGTCAGACTTGTTCAGGTTTTTCCTCTGGGGTATTATTACTTTTGATATTCCAATAGTAATAAGCATGCCTAATGCTCATATTTGGGTTTCCATATACCATTTTGCATAAAAGGAACTAGGGCTTCTTGGGAAAATTGCTCATTCTAGGACCCTAGGGCAGGGGCAGTACAAAATTAGTCTGCAACATTTTCTTAGCACAAAATGAATGAGGACATATAAAGAAGACACAAGAGCCAAATTGAAGGGCCTCCACTGGCCAAATATGGGACATTTTGAGCCTTGAAAAACATAATAGTAGTGGATTATAATGCATTGATTTAAAAAAGAATCCATAGGTCTGTAGAAATACTGAAAATAGGCCGAGCGTGGTGGCTCATGCCTGTAATCCCAGCACTTTGGGAGGTAGGTGGATCACCTGAGGTCAGGAGTTGAAGACCAGTCTGGCCAACATGGAGAAACCCTGTCTCTACTAAAAATGCAAAAATTAGCTGGGCATGGTGGCTGGCACCTGTAATCCCAGCTGCTTGAGAGGAGGAGGCAGAAGAATCACTTAAACCCAGGAGGCAGAGGTTGCAGTGAGCTGAGATCGTGCCATTGTACTCCAGCCTGGGCAACAAGAGCGAAACTCCGTCTCAAAAAAAAAAAAAAAAATACTGAAAAGAACAATTGGGATCAGGGAGAAGGGGAAGCTCTACAGAGGAATTCCAACTAATAAATGTAAAGAGCATGAATTAAAAAGCTAGACTTAGAATGTCACCATTTTATACCCAGTACATTGATTACTGTTCCAGGCAAGGACGATCAATAAATGCTGAGGTCAATCGGTGGAATTAACATGCTGGAGATTACTTAGGAATTGCAAGGGAAAAGGTACCTTTTTGATGGCCAGAATCTGGCAGCCATCATCATCACCAACTTAATATCACCAACAGTGGGACAAAGTTGCACCTCCTGAGGTAATTCCCTGAGAAGGGCACACCACCACTGATGTGGTATTCTTGCCAAAACCATTAAACCCGAATCTAATCTTGAGGAAACAGACTAATCCAAACTGAAGGTCAGTCTATAAAGTAACCAACCAGAACCCTTGAAAAATAGCAGCATTAAAATAAGACAAAAAAGAAAAGATGGGAAATTGTTTCAGATTAAAAGAGATGGAGGAGACGTGAGGAATAAATACTACACGTCATGGACCCCAAAACAAAAGGCTGTAAAGGACATTATTGGGACAATTGGGGGAATTTGAATATAGACTAATTATTGGATAAGAGTATCATATCTGTTAGGTTTCTTGAGTATGATCATTATTTCATGGCTATTTAAGAGAATGCTTTTGTTCTTAAGAGATACCTGGTAAAGTTTAGAGGCAGCATGAGGTCTGCAACTTACTTGAGGGGTTTCAAAAAATATCATTGTATGTATGTAGAGAGAGGAAATTGTGGCAAAATATTAATTGGTGAGTCTAGGCACATAACTGTCTTTTCTTTTGGTGACAAGCATGAATCATACTTAGATCCTGTGAATTAAGGTCTGGCGAAATGGTGATGTGCTATTACTTCTTCATTTAGTAGCTGCAGTGTTTATACCTTTTGCAGAATAAAGGTTTGGTTTTTTTTCCCTTTATTTACCAGTTTCAGAAAGAATTTTTATTGTTACTTGTGGTCAAGCTGTCCTTTCTTTGCCCAGTGGGAACGTCTTCAGGCCGGCACCTGAGTGCTTTTAACATGACCCCAGTAGTCTTAGCTAGCATCCTCACTTTCTGGTACAAGGTGTGCCTGGTTCTTCTTGTGTATTTCCTGTCCCAGATCTGCAATCGGCCCTTTCTCTCAGGAGCTCTTGTTCCTTTTAGCAGTAAATCAAACAGACCTGTTTTAAAAATCCCTTTCAGGTTGCTGTATTGTATCTAGTTTCACAGGAAGGAATATGCCTGTGTATCGGCTATTTATACTGTCTTTAATGGTGTGAAACTTTTTCATATGATTCGTAATTTCTATCTGAGTTCACCTTCTGGGGGAGTTTTACCCCCTAGGTGCCCGCCCTGAACCACCCGAAAGGGTGTTGCCTCTGTGTGGATCGCACAGACTTCTCATGCACCAAACCCCTTTTTATGGGGGACTAGTTACTGGGGAGAAGGTGATTAAATGGACAACTTGGTTTCCATCCCGTGTACTTCAGTATTATTGAATCTCTTATAAGAATATGTTTCCATATTGATTGTAGAATTATAAGATAAGGAACCTAGAAGCCACAGGTTAGAGAATGAAAATGTGGGAATGGTACTGACCTGTCAAAGCAGGAATGATTATTTTCTCTTCATTTGCTTTTCCAGGATCTGTACCCAGCTCTGAAAGGTGTAAACACAGTTTTCCACTGTGCATCACCCCCGCCATCCAGTAACAACAAGGAACTCTTTTATAGAGTGAATTACAATGGCACCAAGAATGTCATTGAAACTTGCAAAGAGGCTGGGGTTCAGGTAAGGGGAAAGCTGGAGTGAGTGCTGTCAGGAACGTGTGATGGCCCTTTCTAAGGGTGTAAGGTCATAGTTCTTGCAGTCTCCCCAGGCCTAGGTAGGGTTGCTTCTTAAATTGTTAGGAAGATGTTAAAAATGAAGGCCTGGGGAGTCACTGAGGATTATGAAGGTCTGCTTGCCAAGGCCGATTTGAGTTGTAGTATTCTAACTGCACACAAATAGAACATCTGAGGACCTCAAGGCTATTAGCCTTCAGTTAAAGAGCTGCAGAACTTAAGACATTGCTTGTATTTTTATTATGATAAAATATATATCACATACAATTTACCATCATAGCCATTTTGAAGTGCAGAGTTCAGTGACATTAAGTACACTCACAGCATTGTACAACCATCACCACCATCCATCTCTAAACCGTTTCTTCTTCCCTAATAGAAACTCCGTCCCCAATAAACAGCAACTCCCAGTCTCCCTTCCCCACTCAGCCCTTGGCAACCACCCTTCTACTTTCTGTTTCTATGGGTTTGACAACTGTAGGAACCTCACAGAAGTGGAATGATATAGTATCTGTCCTTTTGTGTCTGGCTTATTTCACCGAGCATGATGTCCTCAGGGGTCATCCATGTTGTAGCATGTGTCCAAATGTCCTTCCTTTTTAAGGCAGAACAATATTTCACTGTATGGATGGACCACATTTTGTCTATTCATTAAGCCATTGATGGACATTTGTGCTGTCTTCACATTTTGGCAATTGTAAACAATAATGCTGTGAACACAGGTATACAAATATCTGTTCAAGTCCCTGTTAATCACTTCTTTTGGGCATATACCCAGAATTAGGGCTGCTGGATCATATACTAGTTCTATGGTTAACCTTTTGAGGAACCACCACATCGTTTTCCAGACCTTGCTTATATTTTAAAAGAAATGCAAATTGTGTTACTCTTAGCCAGTAGAAACCTGTTATAACTCAGGCCTGAGGGGATATGAATTTCTGCCACATTGTAGCTTACTGCATTGTTACCAGTCCTGGTTCTTAGGGTTTTCTTTATAGGACTCCAGCCACTGACTGAAACAGCACCCTGTCAGTTCAGCATCCTGACCCTCACAGGGCCGCATGCCACAGGTACTACATAAATTAAGAGAAAGCGTGAAGCAAACCAGGGGTTCCTCTCCCAACAACCTCTCCTGGCACTGTCTGATCCCCGTGTCCCCAGCATCCTCAGCCGGCCCAGCAGGGCTGGAGCTCTTCTGGGCTCGGACCCTGGAGAGGATCAGTTATAACTGGCCCCTGGCAGTTGACAAGATGCTTTGTCCTGATGCAGTTTTTACCTAATTGGCTCTTCATTAGGTAACCAGGGGCTAAACAATGTCTCTTAGCTAGTAACTGCAAGAGGTGGAGTCACAGTGGATTCTCCAAATCCCAGACTTTGCACTCTGCTATGCTGATGTAACTGGAGCCCTGGGAAGGGCCCTGCTGCTCTTTGTTAAGTGGAAGGTTCCAGGCATACAAAAAAGATTTGCACCCAGGTGTGGTGGCTCACATGTGTAATCCCAGCGCCCTGGGAGGCCAAAGCAGGAAGATCTCTTGAGCCCAGGAGTTCAAGACCAGGCTGAGCAACATAGCAATACCCCACCTCTACAAAACTTTTAAAAGCCAGGTGTGGTGGTAGGCACCTATAGCCTCAACTGTTTCGGGAGGCTGAGGCAGGAGGATCGCTTGAGCACAGGATTTTCAGGATGCATTGCGCTATGATCCCAACACTACACCCCAGCTTAGGCAACAGAGCAAGACCTTGTCTCTTAAAAAAAACAACACCACAAAAAAAAGCAAAATAAGATTTGAGAATAAAACAGCAACCCTACACTCACCACGGCATTTAAGAAACAGCATGACTGGTGTGTGTGATGTGTGCCATCCTCCATGCCGTTGCTGCCATCTTCGGTTTCTCATTTCCATTTGCCCCATGTGCAGCCAATATAAGGTATTAGATTGCGTGTTAGAAGATTTTATAAAATGATACCTGATTGAACAGATCCTCCTGCAACTTGCTTTTTTCCCTAGTGTTATGTTTTTCTTTGCTCATCTTGGCATATGTAACTGGTTCATTTACTGAGGGGGCAGAGTAGCTTAGTGGGTAAGGGTACAGAAAGTGATTTCTGTGTTGTATTGAAGGAAGGTTTTCCAACACTAAGATCAAAAGATTATTTCATGTACTTTTTTTTCTCAAAGGTTTTAAGTGTTGTTTTCCACACTGAAGTCTTTAATCCTTCAGGGATTTCTGTGTGCATATGGAGTGAGATAGAGATCTCACTTTTTGCTATGTGTATAACCAGTTCAGCACCATTTCCTGCATAATCCCTCCTTTCTGCGTTGCTCCACACCATCTGCGGCCTGTCTTCGGTGTTTGTGTCTTACATGGGCCTGTTCCGAGGCTCTCCCCTCTGCCCCATTGACCTCTCTGTCTGCCCATGCAGAGAGTCTCTGCCTTTTTAGGACAAGTCTCGGTGTACGGTAGGATAAATCACCCCCTAACTGATTTCTTCGAAATTCACTTGGCTCTTCTGAACCCTTCGTTCTTCCACATATATTTGGCTTAACCAGTTCCTTGCTAAAGCCAGCTGGGACTGCTATTGTAATTGCATTGAACTTGTAGGTAATTTTGGAGATAATTGATATCTTTCCAATATCGACTGTTCCTGTCCATAAATATGGGATATTTTTCTGCTTATCTCTCTCTTTAATGTCTTAAATAGTTTTATAGTTTATTTCATGAAGATTTTGCATATCTTGTTAAATTTATTTGTATGTACTTCATTTTTTGTTATTTAATAATTTTATGTTACATCTTCAATTACTGCTAATGTATAAGACTACTTTTTGAATATTGATTTTTAATTCAGCAATTTTGCTGAATTCTAATATTTTCTACATATTTGCCTGTGTTTTCTGTGTAGATTTTTCTATCATCTGTAAGTGATGGAAGTTCAGTTTCTTTTCAGATCATTGTAAATTCTTGTTTATCTTACCCTACCACTTTGGCTAGGGCTTCCCATACAATGTTGAACATGAGTTGGAAAGATATGATTCATGCTAATGGTGTCCAGTGTTGGATGAGCTGCTCTTAACCCACAGACTGGACGCTGGGGACCCTCATAAGAGAGCATCTTCCTTTAGAATAGCATTTCTTGAGGTCTTGTGGTGTGTGTCTTCATATGTGTGTTCACATGGCCAGGTCACTATCAGAATAGATAGTGATCTTTTTCAAACAGATCCTCCTAGAAGTTTGTGGGCTGCCCTTCCCCCACAGAGAATCACTGTCTGTTCTATCCCTCAGATGTGATCGGATAGAAAAAAATGTGTTATCCCTTGTTTTGGAACCAGGATCCCTTGATTCTTGGTTAGAATGTAATACCATAGTGTGTCTGGAATCCACATAGCTGCAAAGATGGTGATCTTTGGATTATTTTAAGAAGGCATGAGAAGCAAAGGCATTGTAGCAAATAATTTGTACAGTGCCTTGAGTGTGAGGGCAGCAAAGGGACGCGCCTTGATTCTCTTTCATACAGGATCATCGCACTCTGAATTGTGATAATTTGTGAATTTTATTCTTTCTAATGTTTGTCTGTCAGAAACTCATTTTAACCAGTACTGCCAGTGTCATCTTTGAGGGTGTCGATATCAAGAATGGAACTGAAGACCTTCCCTATGCCATGAAACCCATTGACTACTACACAGAGACTAAGATCTTACAGGAGAGGGTATGTGCCTTGGAACTCGTTGAGTGCGCAGACTGAAGGGTTTAGAATCCTAAGAAAAATGTTTAAGAATTTATGAAGTTCATATTCTGAGGCCTAAGTACTTGACTTGGGATGTAAAATTTGTGGGTGACATTGAATTCAAAAATATTGTGAGAGGCCAGTCACAGTGGCTCACGCCTATAATCCCAGCACTTTGGGAGGCCGAAGTGGGCGGATCACCTGAGGTCAGCAGTTCTGGAACAGACTGGCCAACATGGTGAAACCCCGTCTCTACTAAAAATACAAAAATTAGCCAGGCATAGTGGTGGGCACCTGTAATGCCAGCTATTCAGGAGGCTGAGGTACGAGAATTACTTGAACCTGGGAGGTGGAGGTTTCAGTGAGCTGAGTTTGTGCCATTGCATTCCAGCCTGGTGGATAGAGAGACTCTGTCTCCACAAAAAAAAAAAAAAAATATATATATATATATATATACACATACATACATACACACATACTATGAGAACAGGTTTACTTGGCCAGACGCTGTTTTGAGTGTTTTCCAGTATTTTCGCTGTTTAAAGGTCAAAGTTATCCCATCGTCACCAGATGACAGATGAGGACTGTGGTGCACAGAGAGACTCGGAAGCTTTCTTAGGCATGCAGCTGGGAGGCGGCTGATCCCAGACCGTCTGTCTCCAGAGCCTGCGCACGCACCCTCGATGCCTTGCAAGCTTTCTTGCTTGCTGTGGGAATTTACAATGGGGGTCGCAAGTGTGCGGACAGGAAGCAGGCTGGAGGCACCTTCCTAGTGGCACTCTTGCCCCCTCCCTTACTTACAAAAACAAACAATGGAAAGATCTTGCTCTATTTTAAGGAAAAGGACTTTTCCATTTGGCAAAGCAGCTTCATCAAAGGACCGCTGATTTTAGTGTGGTTGGATTCGGCCGCAGTCGCTACCAAGCCTTCAAGCTGGCGGGGCTGCTGTGGGGCCCCTGACAACTGCTAGCTGCAGATGGGGATTGTCACCCTGAGGCCATCCTAAGCTGCAGGCTGGGAGTGCTCCTGAGCCTGAGATAGCTCACCTTAGCTGGGTAGCTGTGAGTATACCCCTCCCAGGTATGTGCAGCGTATCACACCCACTGAGGTTTGCTTTCAAAGCCAGTACATACTGAACTGGAGCCGAACACTGACCTGTCTACCTGAGAGTCAGCTACCTCCCGGCTGTTTGCTGCTGCTTCAGCTCAGAAAGTCCTGGCAGAACTGGTCCACAGGGAGACAAAAGGGCTGTCTCACTCCTTGTAGCACCCATGTGGCCAGACTTGGCCCCAGGAGCACTAAAGCCTCCCCGTGCCTTGCAGGCAGTTCAGTCACCATGGAGACCTGTGCATCCTCAAGCCAGCATGCCTGGGACTGGGACTGTCTGCCACCAGTGCTGAGCCCATCTAGGCTCAGGAGCTTCAAATGATGGCCTTGACCCAGCCCATCAGTGGCTCGCTTATATCAGCTTTTGGGTTTCAACTGGAAATAAGCAAAACCTGCAGATGACTCCAGTAGTAACTCACCTGCAGCCTCCTTCCAACCAAGGTCAACACCCATTGTTGCCTTTATAATGTTCCTGCTGATCATAAACCAAATGTGATGGGGAACTAGGACTCCTTCACTGCTCTTCCCTTCAGTAATAGAGATGAGCCTTGGTGGAGGCCATTTGAGGGTTTATTTAGTCATTCCCTTCATCGCTGTGGGTACCAGAGGCCTGACAGGAAGAGGAAGGGAATCTGTTGAAAAAGGCAGCTTTTCCGTTGTTGAGTGGCTTAAGATCACCGGGGCCAAAATATGGACCAGCACTTTGCCACCATAGAATAGAAACCCGAGGTGACATGACAGAGGCACACAGAAACAACTGACACGGGTCATCGTCAGGGCAGCTGCGTTTGTGATCACCGCTTTCACACACGATAAATTCTTTTGGAAATTTTGTTACTTTTGAGGCCAAATCCATTTCTCTGTGCTTTAGGCTCTTGAGCTCTAGTTTGTCCATGAAGTCACACGGAAGACACCTTTTCTGTCTTCCTCGTAGTGGTAGCAGCAGCACTGGCTCCAGACCAGGCACTGCTCTGAGGACTTTACATGGCTCAGCCTCCTTCACTCCCCAGCTGCTGGCCTGTTTCTCCCGGGGCATGGTCTTCAGACCCTTCACTTTCTCTGACCTTCTGTGCCCACTTGGGTTTCTGAGAGCCCTCCCCTCGGAGGTGGTACTCAGAATTGCCTGGAACAGCCTGGTGGAAACGTGGGCGGCACATGCAATTTGAGTTCCTGGCGGCTCACAGCTGACTCGTTTGCCGGAACCTTCGGATCTTTTCCACAAACCGCTGCAGAGGCATGTCTTCTGGCAGTGTTGATGGATTTTAGCCTTTGAACCCAAACCTGGGTCTTCTGATGTGATCTTACTGGGTTTTGCCCAGCTGTCTCTCAGGCAGTTTCAGATTTTGGTGTGAGGGTGGGTGGGGTAGAGAGGTAGGCAAGAATTATAGCAGCCACTGATGTAGGTTGTCAGCTCAAGGCAAACCACTTCTCGGAGGCCACATGCCAGCAGAGTGTGTCATCTCGCTGTCCCCCACGGGTGGTTCTACTCACCCAGTGAGGCACTGTCTTGGCTTGGGCCAAGGGGTTTGCAATGGACATGCTCCTTCTCATGCTCTCCTCCAGGTAGTCCTGGGTGCCAACGATCCTGAGAAGAATTTCTTAACCACAGCCATCCGCCCTCACGGCATTTTCGGCCCAAGGGACCCCCAGCTGGTACCCATCCTCATCGAGGCAGCCAGGAATGGCAAGATGAAGTTTGTGATAGGGTAAGTCAGCCCGCAGTGGCTCTTCCCACTCCCTCCTGGTCCATGACCTCGTATTCAGAGAGCCCTTGGCAGGAGCCAAGCAGCATTCTAGCTCTTTTCTTATGTGACTGTCTAGGTGCATGCAGGCTGCCGTAACAAAATACCTGAGACTGGGTAACAAACAACAGATAGGTTGGAGGCTGGGAAGTCCAAGATCAAGGCGTTCCCAGATTGGGTATCCAGTGAGGTCCTGTTCCTCATGTGTGTCACCTTTTCACCATGGCATCACATAGTGGAAGTGGCAGACAGGCTCCCTTGGGCCTCTTTTATAAGGACACTAAGCCCATTCCTGAGGACAGAGCCCCCACGACCTGATCACCTCCTAAAGGCCCTCTTCATAGTACCATTGCATTGGAGATGAAGTTTCAACATGTGAATGTTGCAGGGATACAAAGACTCAGGCCATAGCAGTGACCTCGTCTACTGTCCTCTGTATTCATATCCTGTAGTTGCTGTAACAACTTGCCATAAAGTAAGTGCTTAAAACAACAAACTGATCCTGTCACAGTTTGGGAGGCCGGAAGTCCGAAGTGAAGATGTTGGCAGGGCTTATGCTTTCTGGAGGCTGAGAGGGAGCATCTGTTCCAGGCCTCTGCCCTAGCCTCTGCTGGCTGCTGGCCATCCTTAGCATTCTGTGCTGGGAGAGGCATCACTCCTGCCTCTGCCTCCCTTTTCACATGGCTGTCTCCCTTGGTTTCTGTGTCCAAATTTCCTTCTTATAAGGACATGATTCACTGGATTTCAAGCCCACCCTACTCCAATATGAGCTCAGCTTAACTAATTACATCTGCAGAGCCCCTGTTTCCAAATAAGGTCACATTCACAAGGTCCAAGCAGACAGAAGCTTTGGTAGGATCTATTCAATCCAGTGTACCCTCTCAGGTGGGCTGGGAAGATATTTGTGACCCTGTTTGGAAATTGAGGAACCCGAGGCTCAGAGGGAAACAGTGGGCCAGGGTCAAGGTCCAGGGCTCGATTATCCTTGCTTCTAGGAAGGCAGGTGGGGGATTACACTGCTCCTTGGGGAAAGTGCAGGCAGAGGGAAGAGCCTCTGCAGGGGCCAGCAGTGTGGCTGTGTCCCAAATAGGTCTTCTCTTCCTTCATTTCCTTCTCTCCTCTCTCTCTTTTCTACTTTTTCCCTGTGCCTTGCCTTCTTGTTTCTCACTCAGCCTCACTGCCACCCTGACTTGTTACCAGTCAATAAATGGGAGACCAGAGCAAGGTGCTGGCCCCGTGTCTCCTGGGAAGGGGCTGAAAAGCTGCTACCCAAATCAGGACAGGAGAGACAGCACCAGTGTTGGCCATGCTGGAATGGGGTGGGCAGGCCACCAGGTTTCAGATTCCACTCACCGTGAGGACCCAGAAGCCCTGGCCCAGTGCGCATCTTTAACCAGTATAGGCATCTATGAGTGTCAGGGCTGGCCTTGCCAAGGCAGGTAGCAGTCATTCTGCACGTCACAGTCTCTCAAACGCCAAGACTTGGGAGCGACACTGGCTTTGGTACAGGGACTCCCAGCACACATTCCATCATCCCTTGTGCACCTGCAGGAACGGGAAGAACCTGGTGGACTTTACCTTTGTGGATAACGTGGTCCATGGACACATCCTAGCTGCAGAGCAGCTCTCCCACGATGCAACCCTAGGTGGGAAGGTAAGGCCCACTGCCCCGTCTCTGCATGTGTGCCTTTCTGCAGATTTGTTATCCCTGCCATTGGACTTGCTGGCAAATTGCTCCTGTGATCCTGCATCATGGAGGCTTTGCCTTAGGACCCCCTGTGCCAAGGTCAAGCCCCTCTGACCCTGTGCCAAGGTTGAGCCCCTCTGATAGAGCATCACTTGGGGCAGCCAAAATTAGGGAGCCGATGAGCTGGGATGGAACAGACATTTAGGACACGGTCATCCGTGGCCCCTGACCTGGCTGCCCACCTGTTGGCATGGCTCCTCAAGGCAGGAGTCCACGTAGATTGGGCAGGGTGCTTGCTCCTCACTCTCCCACTCATTCCTCAGGTCTTTCAGTCCCTTGCTGTTTGGTCCTCTTTTATTCGCCTGAAACTCTGCCATTTTCCCACTGATAACTTTCCAAGAAGTTGGGAGTCGGGTGGGTGTGGCTTTTTTTTTTTTTTTTTTTTTTTTTGAGACAGAGTCTGACTCTCACCCAGGCTGGAGTGCAGTGTCGCAATCTCGGCTTACTGCAACCTCCACCTCCTGGGTTCAAGCAAGTCTCATGCCTGAACCTCCCAAGTAGCTGGGACTACAGCCACGTGCCACGACACTCAGCTAATTTTTGTATTTTTAGTAGAGATGGGGTTTCACCACGTTGGCCAGGATGGTCTCAAACTCCTGACTTCAGTTGATCCACCCGCCTCCACCTCCCAAAGTGCTGGGATTACAGGCGTGAGCCACTGAGCCCAGCCTGGGTGTGGCTTTTGATTTAAAAGAAGCGTAACACCATCAAGAATATGTAATGTGACCAATTCATTACATCCAAAGATATGTAGATGAGTTTTACGATGATTAATAATTATCAAATTAGCAAATGTACTTTTCCAGGTGCAATCTAAGCGTCACTTAAAACCCTGGCTGACAGATAAAGCTTTCATCATCTGCCCTCTCTATGCCTTGGCGGTTGTGCAATTGAGGGCAGGCCACGTGGGCTGCTGCAGCAGTTAGGCAGTGAGGCTGCAATCCCCAAGGGCTTCATAGATGCGCCGGCTTTGGGCAGGCGGGGGCGCTGTTTCTAACTTCTCGTTCTTGTTCTGCCAGGCATTTCACATCACCAATGACGAGCCCATCCCTTTCTGGACATTCCTGTCTCGCATCCTGACAGGCCTCAATTATGAGGCCCCCAAGTACTACATCCCCTACTGGGTGGCCTACTACCTGGCCCTCCTGCTGTCGCTGCTGGTGATGGTGGTCAGCCCTGTCATCCAGCTGCAACCCACCTTCACACCCATGCGGGTCGCGCTGGCTGGCACATTCCACTACTACAGCTGTGAGAGAGCCAAAAAGGCCATGGGTTACCAGCCACTAGTGACCATGGATGACGCTGTGGAGAGGACCGTGCAGAGCTTTCGCCACCTGCAGAGGGTCAAGTGAGGGACCTTGGAGGCTGGGCTCTCTCTACACGTTCCCCAGCCAGTAACTCTCTCCCCTGTGGACTGATGACATAGCATCCTTCGAATGATTTCTCTTTGAGTCTGTGACTCCTCTTACTAGGTAGAGAGCGCACCCTACCCTTTCCATAATGACAAAGACAGCAAAAACAGACATTTCTTCCTTCATGGAATTGGATTTGGGTTTCTTAAGCAGGCAGCTTCATATTATTACTGATTTGTTCTCTGCCTTTTTGTGTCTGTCTGTATACCCGCTCCCTTGCCTCCTCTTCTGGGTTACACATTTCATTCCAATGTCCTTACACGTAATCAAGGAAGCTGTAGGAAGCTACAACCCATTTATTAGTTGCAGTGGAGAACCATTTCCATGCAGACTAAGGAGGACTAGAGGGAAAGCTCTAGACTTAGTTCAGATGCATCTTCAAAATATCCCAGAAGACAAGCAGAAGTTAACGCACAGGTGAGACTTGACATGTACATTTCATACTGACAGCTTAGAGGACAAACTGAAAGCCAAAATGCCTGTAATTCCTCCCCAGGCTCTGTTGCTTGTTCAGCTCACTATATGCTTCCACATTCTCTTTCAGGCACGTTGCTGTGCCTGCCTGCATTTTTGTTGTTGTCATTGTAGAGACAGGGTCTGAGTGTGTCTCTGTTGCCCAGGCCAGAGGGCACTGGCTAATCACAAGCCCAGTCATACAGCACTGTAGCCTTGAACTCTTGGGCTCAAGCAGTCCTCCCACCTCAGCGTCCTGAGAGCAAATGTGCACTGCCGTGCCAGGCTTGCACTGTTTTCACAAAACATTTCACTTATCAACAGGCTTCTGTGGTTTTTAGAGGCAAGGCAGTGATCCAGCCCAGCGGCACGCTGTTTCAGCTGTTCAGCTCCTCTCCTAATGTGGGACACTGGGCTGGGTGACAGTAAGCCAGAGAGCAGAAAGGGCTGCTTCCCTGCAGCTCATCCTCAGAGCTCTTCAGGCCAATTTCCAAAGGGCATAGCACAGAGATTTCCTCTGAGTGAGGAGAGACTGTGCTGCCCTCTGCTCATGGGGCGGGGGATATAAACATAAATAAGACAGCCTTTGCCCCTAAGGCACTTCGAATCATGGACTTCAGATACGTTCCGAAGCCTGTGTGATACCAGACAGGACATGATATACACACCAAAGACACAGTGGTACACGTTCAGCTTCTGTCGGGGAGGGGATGCCTTGAGTCGGACCTTGAAGAATGGATAAGCAGTCAGACTTACTGTCGGAGTTGTCATTTCAGGCTAAAGATATCAGAGTATCACAGTCAATGGCATGTTGTAGTCTAATTAGCCGCATGTTGTGTTTCTTAGTGGTCCATGAGATAATGGTGTCTTACACACTCACTGATATGTCTTAGATTCAGTGAGAGACAAACATGGCAGCCTGGTTTGTGGGGGAAGCCAGCCAGACTGATGGTGCAAAGCTGATGGGGATGAACTTTTATCTCCTAGGCAGTGGGGGCCAAGAATCAAGAAAACCATCCTGGCTGTTACGTGGAGCCTGGGAGATCAGACAGGAAGCAACAAAGGGCCACGCAATGATGGCTTCATTTCTAACCCCACCCTGCCTTGCAAGAAATGACCTGGAAGGGGTCAGATCTCAGCGCCCGATTTCCTGTGGGGAGGGAGGGAGGGAGGAGGCCAGGCACAGCAACGGAGGACTCCACTCATGCTGGGATGAAGCCGCAGAGCAGCTGTGAGCTGGTGGGAGGATGGTGTCAGGCCCAGAGAGGGTGAGGCCAGCAGACCTTGCTGATGAGAGGAAGGGCCAAACTGCCCTTGGCTTCTACCTAACCACTGAGAAAAATGCTAGCTGCCATCTAGACCAAAGATGTCCCTAATGGAACCTCTTCTCTGCCCTCTGTTCACTCATGCAGACCACACATATTCATTGGGCCCTGCCCTGCCCTGCCCTGCCCTAAGCTTCAGTGCTGCATAAAACACGCAGCCCACAGACCAAAAAAATGTGCTATGAGAGGGACAGGGCTGCGGGCAAGCCTGGCCCGGGTGGCCATCATGGCAGAAGAGTTGCAGAAGCAGCATCTGCTCAGATCTGAAAGGTGAGGCTGTGCACAGACACCTCCTCGCCACGGCTTCTGTTTCTGTGTGTTCCTGACCCAGACCTATCTCAACCCAGCCATTTGGAGCAAGTCTAACCACAGGAAACCACAACCTCATTACCCCCTGAGAGCATACTAGAAGCCATCAGGCCCCGTCCCAGACCTACTGAACCGAGGGCCTGGGCCTGGGCCAGTGCTCGTCACAAGCCCTGTGGATGGTTTCTGGCCAGTGAAAGAGCCTTCCTGTAGGTCACTAAGTCCAGCTAGAAACTCCCACTGCAAGACTGAACTTGCCTACTCACAGGCCCAAGGCCTGGGGGCCAATTTCCTTCCTGACGACTGATGGCTTTACAGCACACCGTCCTAAGATGGCATCCTGGAGTGTGGACCCAGACCTGTGCCTGTCCCTCGTGTCACATCCCATCTGGAGAATCGGGGCCAAGGGAAGGCAGTTCTCTCCCAGATTGAGGACAGCTAAAAGCCCCATTGCCAACTGCTGTGTGTCCTTTGGGATGATCTCATTCAATCCCTCTTCCTTCCCGTCTGTATCGGCACTGACCTAGTTCAGCACCTGACCCCATCTGTACCTAGGTCAGGTGTCCTGGGACAGCCGACCTGATCTGTCTGCTTATTCTTGCCCCTCCTCCCATCCAGCGGCTATGTGTACACCCAGGGTGTCCTGCGTCTCCTCTGCTAAAAACACTTCAGTGGGGCCCGGTTTTCTCCCAGCCCACATTTCCAGCTTCTTCCACTGGGCTTCACACCTGCTGTGTTGTAGCCAAATGGAACCATGGTTTCCTGTGCATGCCCTGTCACGACTGCATGCAATGTCCTCTCCCTCGTGTCCCAAGCCCAGAATAGCCCACTCCCTTCCCCTAAAAAGCCGAGCCTAATCCTTCCAGTTGGAAACCACCCGTTTTCTCTGGATTCCTGGCTTGGGGCTGACCTGTGCCTCATTTTGTGTTTCCTATTTGTGCTTTTTCCCACCCCCACCAGGCTAGGAGTTCTTAAGGACAGAGGCAACCAGTGTCCCCACAGCATAGAGGGTACTCAGGAAACCTCCTTGTCTTGGAATCCTGGAGTCACAGTGGCAACGAAAGAAAATGGCCCCAAGAATGGGGAAAGGCACAGCCCATGAGACTGGGTTGAAGCAGAGAGAGGTTCCCAACCTATCATTCGGGTGGGGACTTAGGAAGCCTGTGAACTCCATACATTGGATGCAGCCTTTGGGGGGTGTGTGTGTGTGTTTTGGCATGAGAGGGCACATGGCTTTCACCAGCTTCTCAAAGGGGACTGTGGCCTAATAAAAACTATGAGTGAGTGGATGGGGCCAGCAGCTGCTGGGGGAGGGGCCCGGAAACATGGCAAGGGCAAAGTGGAGCTCCCAGGCCTCACCATCACCCCTGACTGTGTGTGTGGCTGACTGTTCCATCATGGGGTCCATGGCTTCAAAACAGGGAAGCACTGGAATCCACAATGAGGAGGGTTTGGCCGACAGGACAGCAATGGTCGAGGCCTCTGTCCCCAGCCCTCTGGGTTTGGGTGCCCACTGCCCCTGGAAGATTCTTAGCTTCCTGGATGAGACAGCCCTTGCTGGTAGAAAGCTTCACCTTCTGCTGAACTGAAACACCACTGGATGTGACTTCCCTTATCCTCCCTCATTTCCCCCCCTCACCAAACTCCAGCAAGTGAGGCTGGCATGGGTGCTGTTCCCTACGGCTATCCCGCAGTTCCCCAGCAGCACCCTCTTCTGCTCAGCTCACCTGCCTCAGGGCACCTGGTCCTTCAGGGCCAGCCACTCTTCTTCACACTCCATCTCCTACACAATTTCTTGTTTGCAGCTGTCCCCCACAGGTCTCTCTGGCTTCATACAATGGCTGGCCCACATCTCTATCAAAGCACTTCCTCCATCATGGGGCAATCATCCACTTAGCTGCCCAGATACAGCTCTACGAACCGCTTTGCTCCTCAAGGGCTTTTGATTCGTTACCTGTTCCAGGAAAGTGAGTGTGCCCAGCTCGTGTGCCAAGACTCCAAGGGCATTTACAGGAGAAAGCCATCAACTCCACATTGGCCAGCTGAGGGAGCCCCAGAGAAAAGAGGCCATGACCAAGGGCACTCAAGGGCAGTTAGCAGAGCCAGGGCTGGACCACTAGCTCCTGATCCCCTAGGCCAGCACACCCCAGGTCACCTATTCATATCCAGGCCCAGGCAGCCTAATGCCACATAGGTGCCCATGTGGGAAGGAGGCAGCCAGGACATGGACTCCAACCTGAGGTTCTCTAACATGAAGGGCTCAAAAAGCACAAATAGATTACTAGGAACTGTGAGAAAGAAGATGTGTTGGGAAACACTAGAACCTTCCATTCCAGTATGCACCTCTTTTCACCAGCACTGCCTAGTCATTGGTAATGGAAGGCTCCAAAGGATGGTGGATCCAAACTCGAGCCTTTTTGCCAGCTCTGCCTCATACCAGCCCCAGGAGGTTTGTTCATATTAACTCATTCGGCCCAGAGAATTTTCCAGAGAACTTTCTAGAATGACTGGAGTAGGGGAGAAAAGGAGGGAAGAGGGTGAAGGCCTCTCAGCTTCTTTTGTCCTGTACTACAGCCTGGCTCCCAGCAACACTTTTGGGATGCCTCTTGTAGCAGGTACTGGGAGACATGCACACCACTGGCTTTGTTCTCCGCGGCGGGCAGGGGAACATCAATTCAGAAAATGTTAACTGGGCACCTGCCATTTCCAAAGGGATGCAGAAGTGACCAAGGTAGAGCCCTTGCTCTCAAAGAGCTCACAGTCCCATAGAAGAAATGAAATGCAGAAATGCATAACCCAACTGCTCCTTCCTTTAAGAGCACAGGCCATCAAATAGAACTCAGGCTCAATTTTACTTGCCACTTGCTTTTATAAATATGGTTTTGCTGGCACACAACCACATCCATTTATTTACATATTGTCTAAGGCTCCCTTTTCACTACAATAGCAGATGTGAGTAGTTATGACAGAGGCCATCTGGCCTACAAAGCCAGTCAAAATATTGACTGTCTTGCCCCTCATAGAAAAGGTTTTGTGATGGAAGAATGGGATGAGAGAAAAATAAGGAAGAAAAGGAAAGGTTTGTCAACCCCTGCTTAAGA